CTGCACTATTCTGACCGGAACGCAGGCATTGATGTGCCACGTGTTCGGGTGCAGGCGATCGCATTGCGGCCGTGTGTGTGTGGTGCTCTTGACTTCAATGCACCGCCACGCCCCCCTCCCGCCCCAAAACAAAGTGACCTTGGCTGGAATGCGATCCAGTCGGGCTGGAACACACTGGGGCTGGTGTGAACTAGCCCTAAAGCCCGTTGTTTCTTTGTAAATATGATAAAAAATGATAAAAAATAAAATGACGTTTTAGTTTCCCTTTAAGGAAGGAGGACCCCTTCGCTCCAGAAGTAAGGTCTGTCTGGTTTGTGTAACCTCTGTGTCCCGCGGCCTCAGCTAAGGTCATTATTCCACATATAGAGACTGATTAGAAAGTGGGAATAGAGCAGAGTTCAGTGTGCTCGGAGGAAATCTTGTTACAGGGGCTGCTTGCACCAGATATGTGCTGTTTGATTACTTCTATGTTGTTGTAAATGATATATTTATGAAGGAAAACCGGCAAGTGTTACTGTAAATTGCTCGCATTGGTAACATGAGGAATGAACGGCTTGGAAAAGCCCGGCGTGAGTCTTTGCAAAACTCCCCCGCAGTGCCTCTGTGTATTTCTTCTGACTGCAAATGTACACAAATATGTTTATACTGTAAAGTCGTCATTGTAACACTGGAAAGATTGTGAAATAACAGGTCACTCCAAGTCTACGTGATGGCTACAAAGCGCAGGAGCAGATTAAGACACAGACGTGTAAAATGTAACCCTTCAGTAAAAATATTTTTTATGTATTTAAAGTGACAGTAACCACTTGAAGACCAGGTGTTTAGACCCCCTTCCTGGCCAGGCCATTTTTCAGTATTCAGCGCTGCAGTACTTTGACATTTATTCCATCATGCAACGCTGTACTGAAATGAATTTTATACCATTTTTTGGGGGCACATAGAGCTTTCTTTTGGTGGTATTTAAGCACCACTGGGGTTTTAATTTTTTACTATAATTAGGAAAAATTACAGAAAATGTGGGGGGAAAAAAGTTTTTTTTTTTTTTTACATTTATGTTAGGAAACACATTTATTATTACCCAGTTTTTTGGTAAAATATAAAAGATCGGGTCACGTCGGGTAAATAGACACCAAACATGTCAAGCTTTAAAATTGTGCGCACCCGTGAAGTCGCAGAAAACTACCATACCCAAAATTGGCAATAGGCGACACTTAAAAAGCTTTTACCGCTCATCAGTTTAGTGTTATCAGTGATTGATGGCCCTAGAATTATTGCTCTCACTCCGACGTTCGTGGCGATATGTAACATGTGCGGCATAATGGGCGCAATCGTCTTTTTTGCACGTATGGGCCCCCGAAGCATGTTTGCATGAGTGTATGTATGGGTGGGGACTTTAAAAAAACATTTTTTGTTTTTTTAATTCTTTTTTTTATGTGTAACTTTAAATTTGGGGGGGGGGGACTTACATATTTTTTTCCTCCCCCCCACTAAACTATTGCTATCACATACAGGGGTTAATAAAACCCCCTTATGTGATAGCAAAATATGTGACAGGTCCTCTTTATGGAGACATCAGGGGTCTCCAAGACCCCTAATGTCACCTAGGGCCCCCCAAAAGAAGCTGATGAAGCAATCTACAGCCGGCGGATCGCTTGTATGGTAACAGGCATCGCTGCCTGGTTTTAAATGTCGCCCATTTTTTTACTACGGCCGGCCCGGAGGCAGTTAAAGGCTATTTTCTATTTCCCCCTCCCCCAATGTCAAGTATCAGGACTGACCTTAAATGATGCCTCTTAATCTGATCTTCTTTAGTGTAGTTTTTAGCTGTCCCTCCTGCGCTGGGTGCGAGTCTCCAATCCAGCGCTGACTCCACTGTCCTCTTCTCTCATGTCCCACGGTGTCTGTGCGGGTGCACGCTGCTCCGCATACTTACCTTGTGTCTCTCCTCGTCTCCCAGCCAAACATCTGAACTGCGCATGCGCCCGCCCCAAGATCCTTTGCGGCCACCCTAAAAATGTTCAGATGTTCGGACGGGAGCGCGCGGTGGAGACACAGGTAAGTATTAACCCTTTTAAAAGGTTTTTTTTTTTTTACATCGTTTTGCATATATCTACTGCTTGCTAGCAGCAGATATATGCAGAAACATGAAACGGTTTAATAACCCTTTAAAAATGCTTGCTTGCCGCGTTCCTTTTTTTGGTGTGTGGGGAGGAGAGGGGGGATTAAATAGTTCCACTGTAGAGGGCACCTGACAGCCGTGGGGGGCATTTCAGAAGGTGTGTGTTACAGGCTGCTTGAGTCAGTGCAGGAGCAGTGTTGTCAGTTCAGTTTTTTCCATCTCCGAGTTGGGCTCTGAGATCACTTTGTTGACAGCTCTGACCTGCTGGGTTTGCTAACATCCAATTCCTACACTTAACCACCTTGAACTAGAGTAATAATTACATCTCAGTACTAAATGATCATTTTATTCTCTGTAGAGCTGCCCATAGCAGCCAATAACATTGTAGGCATCATTGTCCTAACGCAGAAGATGAGGAAAAGTCTGCCAAAACAATACCGTACATCTCGTCCTTCTGCCTTCTGATTGGATGCCAGCATTGTTCTGGTGTTTTGAGAGCCAGCAGGGCCGACTAGCAAGATACTGGAGCTTGGCCCGGTTGGAGCTTCCTCCATCCACACAGTTTAGCGTAGATGGAGGAATCTGTTGCACTTTTTTCATCTGACCATAGAAAGTCTGCAGGTCATCTATAGGTGTATGGCCAGCTTTAACTAATATACCGTGTGGGTACAGCAGACTTTATTGCATGTACAGTGCCTTCAGTGTCCTAGATGCACAGAAAAAGGTTGCAGACTTGAGTTTCTGCTATCTGAGTGTACATTGAAGACTACTATATGAGGTGCTGATTATAATTACTTTCATACTTTTAATAAATCTAAGATGTGCTAATTCTGTCTTGCATTTCTTTTTCATCTAGATGGTGTTTTACACGTGCGGACCAAATGAGGCCATGGTGGTTTCAGGTACGGCGGCTCTACGGCTGATGATGTTCTTTGTTCTTTCTACTCATTTAAAAGCTCAGATTTCTTATTTTAATATGTTGTAATTCTAACTAAAGCCAAAACTTTTTACAATTTTGGATAGGGTAGGATAGGGTTAAAATCAGTCAGGTTTTTTTTTTTCTAGTCATGTTTTTCATTAGGGATATTTCCTTTCACTTCTGTTTCTAAAAAGCGGTTCTTAGACAGTTCTCATGGGATCGGGTGTCCCCATTGCAAGATTTCCCCTCTATTCCTGTTCTATATACAACTTAAAATGTTGGTTTTGCCCTCACTTTTATTGCAGATGACATTAGTAATCAGGGAAGTTAGAGAAAGCGAGAGTGTCCCTATTGGATACACAGACCTGACCATGCTTTTAGTGCCATTTTTTTGGCCGATACAGCGGCGCATCCCCGCTTTCTCTCCTCCCCACTGGGTGCTGCTCTGTGTCCCAGCGGGGAGGAGAGAAACTGTCACAGGAGGCCAAACGGTGCTGGAGGAGAGAGCTCTGTAAGCGGCCGGCGTCTCTCCTCCTCTCACCGCTCAGCCTCCTGTGATAGATCAGGAGAGCGGCTGTGTGGGGGAGGTGACACTTGTCATCTGTCACAGGAGGCCGGCGGTGCGCGGGAGGAGTCAGCTGTCAGATCAAGATCTCCTCCCCGCACCGCTCACTCACAGCTGATCCAGGATGGAGAGACGGTACAAGCAGTCAGTGATCGCTGAGTGTTTGTAAATAATTGAGGACAGAGTATGTTTACTGTGTCCTCAATTTATGAATGAATAGGAAGTGATCTACATCACTTCCTGTTCATTCATGATTGTGGACATGGTAAACACACCATGTCCTCATGTTATGAATGAGCAGGAACACTCAGTATAGAGGATTCCTGTTCATTCATAACTGGGGCTGCAGAAAAAGAGATTGAGGACTCTGTGTTCTCAATCTCTTTTTCGATTTTAAAAGGGAAATATCAGGGGTCTGCTTAGACCCCTAACATTTCCCCCGTAGCCCCTAAAGTAAAAAATACAAATATTTAATAAAAATAAATAAAATATTTGAAAAAGTTTGGGAAAATATTTTTTTTCGGTTTCGGCTTGATTATTTATTTTTTTTCCATTTTGGTTTTGTTTATGTTTTGAAATGTTCATTTTAGTGCACCTTTTTTAGTTTGAATCCCTCGCCACTGAAAATCTTTATTGGCATCCAGACTTACACCATAACCCAGTTCAAAGAGCAGTAACTCCTAGCAACCCATCAGAAATGATCTTCAGCTGAGTTGCAGATACAGTTCCTGTTACTATGTGTAACTGCACTTTGTATGCGCTCATTGCCGTTTGCAGTAAATATCTTCTTGGAAGCAGATTTTGTAATCTCCTCACATGACATCTGCCTCACTTCCTGTGGCATTGTGGTGCGGGAACAAAGGTGACCCAGTTTAACGTGGAAAAACAAATTTGCTGAAAAGTAAATGTGCATGTAAGAGGAAAAGGTTTTTTCATTTTCAGTAAGCCGATATATATCAAGTTAAAGAAGAACTCTGGGCAAACAAAAATAAACTTACCCTTACACTGTGAGGGTCAAGTGCTCGTTTTGTCTAGGGGACTCAAATAAAGCTGTTTTACTTACCTGATCCTTGGCCCTGCCGGCTCCTTCCAGGCTGCTATACTGGTCCCCACAGTCACGTCTCCCCTTTTGCTCTGTTGGTCTAAGGACCGCTGATGTCATCATGTCTTTTGCAGGTCCGTTGACCTGCATTAGATATGAGGACATTGCGTAGCTGGAGCGGAGAGGGAGAGAGGCGAGCGCTGACCGCCGTGGGAGCCGGAATCAGGCGAGTAAAGCTGCTTTATTCGAGTCCCCTAAACAAAACTTAACAGGCTAGCCCCACTGCAAGGGTAAGTATTTTTGCTTCTCCCGGAATTCTTCTTTAATACCTTTTTGAAGTTAACGTGACATATTTGATATAACGTTCACATTTGACATGCTTACTGTACCATTTCCATTCCATTACTGTATTACATATACAGGTTCGCAGACTCTCCCTATAGTAGCTGAGTATATATCACTACTTCACTGATCAACAACACAAAGCATAAAAACACAGGAGAAAGTGTAATACAGGTATTCCTCACTTAACGACCGAGTTCCGTTCCTACGACCAGGTCGTTAAACGGATTGGTCGTTAAGTGAGGAACTCTATACAGTACTGTACTGCATTAGTACAGTACTGTATAGCGTTGCCGATGTACAGTAACGAACAGTGTACTGTACATCGGGCAATGAAAATACTTACCAGGACCCGCAATGAAGATCGGAGGACACCACTTCCGCCGGCGACACGGCGCACTGACGCTGACGCACAAGGTCGGAGGTCGATCGGCGCTCCGTCGTAAGTGCGAGTGGTCGCAAAACAGGTAAGTCGGTAAGTGAGGAACATCTGTAGCAATATTTAGGGCTTGTTCACACCAAGTGCGGAGCACAAAGCAGTTACAGAACGCATTAAAACTGCATCCAGTGTATTCCAATGGTATTTTTGGGCTCTAGTTCACACCACTGCGTTCAGTTCCAGAGCATGTGGAAAAACTGCAGTATTCTTCACACTACCTATGTATCTTTTTTTTTTTTTCTTCTCTCTCCAGGCTTCTGTCGCACCCCCCCAGTTATGATTGCGGGTGGTCGCGTGTTTGTCCTGCCCTGCATACAGCAGATTCAGAGGTGAGTTCTTTCAGAATTTCCTGTCTGCGGTTGATGCGTAGATATTAAAGGGTCATTCAACCCAAAATTGATGTTTTATCCGTCGTCAGAAGTTTGAGTGTTAAACTACCTGACGGCTTCTAATTTCTCCACTTGAATGTTAAATAGACTGTACGTAAGCTGCATGTCTTTACATCTTTAGGATCTCCCTGAATACGCTGACGTTGAATGTAAAGAGTGAGAAGGTCTATACTCGCCATGGAGTCCCTATATCTGTTACTGGCATTGCTCAGGTAAGCCAGACCAAGAACACTTATAGCACAACTGTCATGAGCAGAACATGTGAGCAGCTAGCATTTTCAGAAGGAGAGTTCAACAACAGCAGTCTGGATTTATCTTATGAAATGTGTTCTTTAACCACTTTAAGACCAGGTGTTTACACCCCTTTCCTGGCCAGGCCATTGTTTAGTATTCAGCGCTGCGGTACTTTGACTGATGTTTATTCCGTCATGCAACGCTGTACTGAAATTAATTGTATACCATTTTTTGGGGGGCAGATAGAGCTTTCTTTTGGTGGTATTTAATCACCACTACAGGTTTTTTTTTTTTACTATATTAAAGGAGAACTATGAGATGAGTGCTTTCCACTCACCTCATAGTTTTAGCCGACCTGTGACAATGAGACTGTCACAGGTCGGCTTAGTAGATCGGGAGGTGAGCGGACACATACCGGGTTCGCTCACCTCTCGATCCTGTCACGGCTCTCTGCCGTGAGAAAAAAACTTGTTTTTTTTTTCATTATTACCCATATTTTTGGTAAAATTTAAAAGACGGGGTCACGTTGGGTAAATAGACACCAAACATGTCAAGCTTTAAAATTGCGCGCACCCACGAAATCGCAAAAAACTACCATACCCAAAATTGACCATAGGCGACGCTTTAAAAGCTTTTACCGCTCATCAGTTTAGTGTTATCGGTGATTGATAGCCCTAGAATTATTGCTCTCATTCTGACGTCCGCGACGATATGTAACATGTGCGGCATAATGTGCACAATCGTCGTTTTCGTACGTATGCGCACCCGACGCCTGTTTGCATGCGTGTATGTATGGGTGGGGACTTTTTTTTTTTAATTCTTTTTTAATTCTTTTTTTATTTGTAACTTTTAATTTTTGGGGGGGAAACTTAAATTTTTTTTTTCCTATTTTTTTTTTTTCCACTTAACTTTATTGTTATCACAGAGGGGGCTAAGAAAACCCCACTATGTGATAGCAAAAGATGTAACAGGTCCTCTTTATGGAGACATCAGGGGTCTCCAAGACCCCTAATTTCACCTAGGGACCCCCCTGAAGAAGCTGATGAAGCAGAGATCTGCTTCATCAGCTTCTCTCCAGCATCTGAAGCTGGAGAGTGACAGAAGAATGCGGAAGTGATGTAATATACATTACATACACTTCCGCATTCTGACAGCGGAGAGGGGACCGGAGGGAGGTCATGTACCGACCTCCCTCTGATCCCCTGTGACAGAGGCACTATGCTGGTCCCGGACGGGACCACAGCGGAGCCCGGGACCAGCAGGGGGGGGGCGCACATACGGGGACCTCATACAAGCGAGCAGTCAGCAGGGAGTTTTGTTTTGATACACCTGGAATGTAATTGGCGGATTTAGTTCAGTTGAGCTTTTGTAGCAATTTCGGTATGAGCTAAGCACAGTTAGCATCATATGATGCCCAAATGCAGGGCTGTAGCTACCATGGGGCGAGTGAGGCACTCACCTCAGGCGCAGCTGAGAGGGGGCACAGCCATGGAAACGGGCACCAGGCGGCCAACGCAGCCGCGGCTCGGCAGGGAGAAGAGGGGCAACACAGGCTTCTCCTAGGATCCCCACTGCTCTCCTCCGCCTGGAGGCAGGGTGCATGACATCACATGATGCCGCGTGTGTGTGCGGCATTGGGTGACCTGACATGTCTGTTGAGGGGGGGGGGGGGCACAATTTTCTGTTCTTCCGGTGCAAAAGGAGCTAGCTACTGCTCTGCCCAAATGTACTAAAAGCCCTTTAGCGATACTGGAGCCCCCCCCCCGCTCCCCAAATTACTCCAACTTCCGGCGTTTAGGGAGAATGGCCAAGTACTGTGCCACAATGCAATGCGTTGCTCAGTGCCTGAGTGATCAAATCACTTTCAGACCAGTATGTATGTATGTATGTATGTATGTGTCAACAATCTGTGGCTTGGCACTGGCAGAGGGACACCGCACTTAAGATCAGGAATCATATGATGCCAAGTGTTCAGAACTTATACTGGTTATATTACATGTCAGTACAGGTGCACCTTAATCTAATACTGTCACTCAGGCATGGAAGGCTGAAGATCATTTTATATAAGACCCTCCCACATAACAGCAAACTGTCAACATTCAATCATATAAGGAATAAAAAATGAACTCCAGGCTGATATAAAAAAGACAAATCAATGCAGCTCTGTATTTATGAATGAAGCATTATATGTATTTAATCCCTGGACTTGGTATCGGCTTCTTGCAATTCTCTATATAGCAGTTCTCATACTGGGAAGGTGAAGGGCTGGGAGACGAGCAAGTGTGCTGACTGAGCATGCTGATAGGACAGGAAAGAGTATACGGACAAATGACATAATTGCATCACTTCCTTCTGCAGTCTATAGCTGTAACAGAAGTGGTATCATACACCTAGCTGTGTGGTGTGGCAGGGCTGTGTCAGTCTCAGGACTGGATAGACAGAAATACTAATGTTTTGCAGGTAAATATACATACATGTATTTAACTATTTGCCTAGATTTATCTTTAACATTACACAAAGCTGATAATAGCATGGTGTTTCACTTGAAGTATCTCCCATATGAAAGTTGAACTCTCTAAAACACTATATCCTACTAGGTGAAGATCCAGGGACAGAACAAAGAGATGCTGGCAGCTGCTGCTCAGATGTTCCTGGGTAAAACAGAAAATGAGGTGGCTCACATTGCTCTGGAAACTTTGGAGGGTCACCAACGTGCCATCATGGCTCACATGACTGTGGAGGTAAGCTGTGATTGGCGCATGAGGTATTGTGGTGATATTTCGGCTGATGTTTAGTAGTAGAAGTAGTGCTAAAGGTTTTTGACCCCATAGTTCTCCTTTTAATATCTTTTGTATCACATGCCCCTCCCTTTTAGATTGTAAGCTCACATGAGCAGGGCCATCCTAACCCTCTTGTCTTGAATTTTATTGTAAGTGTGCTTTCTCCCTTTATAATGTGCTACGTAACCTGTTTTGGATAAAGTGGGTAAGGGATAGACTTAAAAGGAGAACTATGAGGGGAGTGCTTTTCACTCACCTCATAGTTCTTGCCGATCTGTGACAATGAGACTGTCACAGGTCGGCTCAGTAGATCGGGAGGTGAGCGAACACATACCGGCGTTCGCTCACCTCTCGATCCTGTCACAGCTCTCTGCCGTGACAGGGGAGGGGCTGGATTCCCCCCTCCCCGCTCCGATCCGCCAGTGCTGACTGGCGGAACGGACGGGGGAGGGGGCGGGTACAGCTGGCTCTGCCTCTAGACAGGCAGAGTCGGCTGTCACTCACGCAGCTGGACGGATCCAGACATAATTGTATACCGTGAGCAGCAGTAACCCTGTAAGATTTTTCATTCTGTCTGAATCCTCACTGTGGAGATTATTCCTTCTATTTGTACTGATGACCGTTTGTCATCGAAACATTAAGTTGGGGAAATCCATAAATGTAGAGTTGTCCCCAAGGGGGGGGTGAAAGGAAATGTCTGAATTGGGACACTTGTTCTAGTGACAAGTGTCTCTAAGGGGTTTTGCCATTACTTTGGGAGATTTCCACTCACTTCCTGTTGCATCTCTGGGGTAGGAAGTAAATAAAAATTCCCCAGTACACAGAAAAAGAAAAAAAACTGTTGGGTTTTAACCCTTCCCTACTACGTTTTATGCAAAATGCACAAATGTTTGTAAATGCACAAATGTTTAAATCGGTCTGGCAACAGGGTCTTTTTTTAATGTAATTTTCAATTATTTAAGATATGCAACTGTTAATTAAATAATACCTGGTTATCCTGCCATGGGGGGGGTCTTGTTCAGGCACTTCCTGCTATGGGATGACAACTGCCTCCTAATTGTGCTTCTGCGTTGTCATCCTGCACTCCTGGTTGCGACTATAAGTGGCCCTGTCAACACACTGCACATGCATGGTCCAGCATTGTCGATATCAGGGAACCGGCCCAGAGCAATGATGTGCATGTAGACAGGAAGTGGCTGAAAGAGACTGGAGGAGGTCAGCAGTGCTGAGATATAGAAAAAAAAAAAAAAGGTAAAAGATTTATTAAAAGAAAAATGGTGAAGATAATGTGTACATATAGAGGTGTATGGATCAATATGAGTGGGTATATAGTGTGGATATATATGGGTTGGTTTGTACACGTGTGTGGGGGGAGAGAGAGAGTATTAGGGTATTTTTTAACACAAAATTATATAGAGGATCGTCCTCTTCATACTGGTCACTGGAATTGTATATTTAAGATAATTAATATGAAATGTAAGATTTGAGGGGATTGAAGTCGGCGTTTATTTTTTCCCCACCTCTTTTTTCTAGTTTAGAATGAGTATGTGGATGTAGGACATTATGAATGTTAGAATATTTTTATGTGTATTAGTATGTTTATACTTGGTGATGTAATGTTGATGGCTGGTTGTATTTATTTATGTATGTATAGCATTAAAGTCGAAAATAAATAAAGAGTTGTTATAAAAAAGAAAAATGGTAATTTGATTAATATACAGTGAAGGGAATATCAAAACTGGAGCAGCGGTGCATGGCAACCAATCAGCTTCTCTGTTTCGTTTTCAAATCTTAACTGAACAAACTAAAGAGAGGAGCTGATTGGTTGCCATGGGCAACTGCTCCAGTTTTTGTCTGCTCCAGTTTTGATAAATTCCCCTCATTGTGCTTTTAGCAAAATGAATGTCAACCAGTTAGGGTTTAGCTCCACTTTAGATAAATCATTATCTCACATCTTCCATTGTAACACTTTTCCATCAGGAAATCTACAAGGATAGGCAGAAGTTCTCCGAGCAGGTCTTTAAAGTGGCCTCATCCGACCTTGTAAACATGGGAATCAGCGTTGTGAGCTACACCTTGAAGGACATTCACGATGACCAGGTAAAAAGAAGAAAAAATAAAGACCACATAGGAGGAGCTCTAGAAGAACGATTCGGCACCTAAAAGTTTTTGTTTAACCTCCTTTTAGGATTACCTGCACTCCCTGGGAAAGGCTCGAACAGCTCAGGTACAGAAGGATGCCAGGATTGGAGAGGCCATAGCCAAGCGAGATGCTGGAGTCAAGGTGATCACAGTTGTCTTGTTAGTTCTAGACATTTTTATGTTACATAGTGGAGGATAAAATCATTGTTTTTAATTATACACATAAAACTGAACTCCAAGCTAGGGATGTCCAGATACCAGTGCAGATACTTGGCATTTTCATGAGAACTACCAGGGTTGCAGTGGTTGCAGCCGGGACCTGGCTCTGGCGCTCCACCACAGTCCTGAAATCATTAGTCTGTATTGTTTTAGAAAAACTGTCACATGATAATAAACATAAATGTATCAGTACTCGTATCTGTGAGTACTCGGCAAGCATCAGTACTTGTACTTGAAAAAATGGTATGGGTGCATTCCTTTTATATATGCATATAAAAACAAAATCGTACATTAAAACTGAGATCAACCGAGTACGGATCCCAGGAGCCCCGTGTGCTCCTTACAAATGACAGCTGCCTCCTAACTTTTGAATTTTTCTCTAGTGTAGTCTTGGAGCTGGAAAAGTATCTGTACTTGTACCGAGTACGGTACTTGGTATCTGAGCATCCCTACTCCAAGCAAATCTAAAAGACGCATTATTACAGCTCTGTATTCATTAACATATCATTAAATATATTTATTTTAATGTAAGTACCTGACTTTGACCTGGAATTAACCACTTTCAGTTGCCTGTACAGCTGAGCTCAGTGTTTATGTGCAAACCAGGTACGTGCTGATAGGAGAAGATAGCGGGGTAAAACAAATGGCTAACGCACTCATCAATTCATAACTAGCTTTAAAGCAAGGTGCACATGGAAGGGCTTTACACAGTAGAAAAACAAAAATTTCCCAGCACACTCGCCAGCCTGCAAAAAATTACACTGTCTACCTACTAGGGTTAAAAACAGAGGTTTTGTACAGCACTCTGGAAAACCTGGCACATGTTACTCTGGTACGCAGAGCCTCGCCACACTATGTCTGATCACTTAGATTGAGGTTGATATGTGGTTCTTCCCTAGGTACAAGATGTTCTCTTTTACCTCAATATTGTACCTATTATGTCTGTTTTTCCATGCACAATGGACGACAATGTTAAATAAAAGAATTTTTTTTTTTTTAAAAGAGGTTTTAGGTCACAAATTTTGCAAAATATGTGGAATCCACACCCCTCTGTGTAGTGTGGTCCTAACTATAATCTATGAGAGCCTCCATCTTGGAGCATATATAGCAATGGATGAATTGGGTGCAGGTTTGCCGGGAGGTAGCCCAACCTCCTTAAAGGCACAGGGACACACCAGAAGCCCAGCACATCGCAATGGCAGCTGAAGCCCCCAGTGATAGCATGGTACCAGAAAAATTTGTTTATCAGTGTGCTGCTTCTCCTTTCACTGTCCAGTCACAGGCTGGGGGAAAGACAAGTCCTTTAAATATTATATAACTGTAGCAGAAAAAACATAGGTGTTCTCCTCTATCAGACTGGGCTATGCTGTGTGGCAGAGTGGTGTAAAATCTCAGGACTGGATAGACGGGCATACAAATCCTTTGGTAGTAAAAACCGCTTTCTTATATGTATTTTATCTGTGTGCTTATCTGTTTGCAGGAGATTCAACTTTAAAGGAGACCTTGTATGGATTGACATGATTTTTTTTGTGTCACAGGAAGCAGCAGCCCTACAGGAGAAAGTTTCTTCCCAGTACATCAACGAAATTGAGATGGCCAAAGCTCAAAGAGACTTTGAGCTGAAGAAGGCTATGTACGACCTGGAAGTAAACACCAGGAAAGCAGAGAGTGACATGGCCTACCAGTTACAGGTATAACCGTCGGTGCCTATTGTGTTTCGGTTTTGCGGGAGACGGAAACAACATATTGTGTGCTTTGTCTACAGGTGGCCAAGACTAAGCAGAAGATTGAGGAGCAGAAGGTTCAGGTCCAGGTGGTGGAGAGGACACAGCAGATTCAGCTACAAGACCAGGAGATCATCAGGAAGGAGATGGAGCTGGAGGCCAGAATAAAGAAACCAGCTGACGCAGAGCGTTACCGACTGGAGAAACTGGCTGCGGCAGAGAGGTTGGCTTTATTCCCTTTACTACTGTCCATATTGTCCACCCCTGATCGTCATTGTGTTTACCATCTCTTCTTTTCCTTTGTCTGCAGGATGAAGCTCATTACTGAAGCCGAGGCAGAAGCTGAGTCAGTCAGGGTAAGAAAACCTACACTGTATAGTCAAACGTATGTAGGCACCCCTCCATTTTATTAAGCTTTGGTGTTTCCAGTAGAGGGTACTGTTAATGCTACTGCATACAAACTCAATATACATCATTGTGCACTTCCAACATTGTGTCATCAGGTTAGGGAATGCTGTTTACTACTCCATCATGACTGTGCACAGAGCTAACTCCATAAAGACAAGGTTTGACCAGTTTGGTGTGCAGGAACTGGAGTCCCTAGGGGGAAAGACAAGTCCTTTAAATATTATATAACTGTAGCAGAAAAAACATAGGTGTTCTCCTCTATCAGACTGGGCTATGCTGTGTGGCAGAGTGGTGTAAAATCTCAGGACTGGATAGACGGGCATACAAATCCTTTGGTAGTAAAAACCGCTTTCTTATATGTATTTTATCTGTGTGCTTATCTGTTTGCAGGAGATTCAACTTTAAAGGAGACCTTGTATGGATTGACATGATTTTTTTTGTGTCACAGGAAGCAGCAGCCCTACAGGAGAAAGTTTCTTCCCAGTACATCAACGAAATTGAGATGGCCAAAGCTCAAAGAGACTTTGAGCTGAAGAAGGCTATGTACGACCTGGAAGTAAACACCAGGAAAGCAGAGAGTGACATGGCCTACCAGTTACAGGTATAACCGTCGGTGCCTATTGTGTTTCGGTTTTGCGGGAGACGGAAACAACATATTGTGTGCTTTGTCTACAGGTGGCCAAGACTAAGCAGAAGATTGAGGAGCAGAAGGTTCAGGTCCAGGTGGTGGAGAGGACACAGCAGATTCAGCTACAAGACCAGGAGATCATCAGGAAGGAGATGGAGCTGGAGGCCAGAATAAAGAAACCAGCTGACGCAGAGCGTTACCGACTGGAGAAACTGGCTGCGGCAGAGAGGTTGGCTTTATTCCCTTTACTACTGTCCATATTGTCCACCCCTGATCGTCATTGTGTTTACCATCTCTTCTTTTCCTTTGTCTGCAGGATGAAGCTCATTACTGAAGCCGAGGCAGAAGCTGAGTCAGTCAGGGTAAGAAAACCTACACTGTATAGTCAAACGTATGTAGGCACCCCTCCATTTTATTAAGCTTTGGTGTTTCCAGTAGAGGGTACTGTTAATGCTACTGCATACAAACTCAATATACATCATTGTGCACTTCCAACATTGTGTCATCAGGTTAGGGAATGCTGTTTACTACTCCATCATGACTGTGCACAGAGCTAACTCCATAAAGACAAGGTTTGACCAGTTTGGTGTGCAGGAACTGGAGTCCCTGCACAGAGCCCACCTAATAACCTTTGAGATTCAAAGGGAAACTATTGTGAGCCAGATCTTCTCATCCAGTGCCATTACCTGATATTACAAATGCTGTTTTGACTGGAGGGGCACAGATTCCAAAATCTTGTGGAAAGCCTCCCTAGTACAGTTGAGGCGGTTATAGCCGCAAAAAGTGGAGAGCAGATGTAACTCCATATGCATGCACTTGGTTTTAAAATAGGAATTCGACGTCCAACAAGCTCATATAGGTGTGATGATCAGGTGTTCACAAACTTTGGGACATACAGTGTAGTGTAGCTTTTATGTAAACTCTACTTACAGGTTGCTAGATCTTTACACAGTCAATGTCATGTCTATTACTTTTGTGTAAGGGCATGCTATACATCATATACATCATCTCCCTATATTAGGAAGGCGCATTACACAAGACCAATAAAGCATTTTTAAATATCTTGTATCTTTTTAAAAGACGGGCTTTATATCTACTGCGCTGTAACCTGCATTGCATTCTAAAAAAAGGAAAACCGGTTTTACACATCAGCTTTTCAGACCAGTTGCAGAGTAGCTCTGAGGCTACAAGCTGTTAGAGTGGCTTAACCTTTTTAATGTGGCACAGCTCACCTTTTAAACCAATTGCTTTAATGGGCAGCAACAAAGATATCTGAACATGTTTGCCCATGATAGCTTGAGGATCACTCGGAATTGGTAGCACAGCTATAGAATTGCTACACTTTGCAGAATTGCTAACACAGCTAGATGATCAGGAGGGAGACCCTTCTTCTCTTGTATCGGTATTATTGGTAATGGGAGAACATGAAAGGTGTTCCAATTTCTTAAAGGTACTCTCCCACTTTATCCAGCAGTTAAAAATGCAGGGAATTTAAAGTGCATGGACATACCTGCATCAACTCTCACCCTTTGTTACGACTGAATGCCAGCCATTCTGAAGAGGCAATGCTCCCACAAGTCCTGTTAAAGGAGAACTATGGGGTAAGTGTTTTTCCCCATAGTTCTCCTCAGGGTCATGGGAGGACATAAACTAGCATCCTCCTGTGACCCAAAGCTCAGTATACCGCGAGCTACGGCTCGCGGTATACTGAGACCGCCGCAGCCGGGACGGATCCCAACATTACTTTCGAGATCCACCCAGCTGTGTGATTGACAGCTGGCTCTGCCTATCTAGAGGCAGAGCCAGCTGTTCGTTCCTTCCGCCCCCTCCCCCTGTTCGTTCCTTCAGTCAGCACTGAAGGATCAGAGCGGGGAGGGGGGAATCCCTGCAGGGAGCCATGAGTGACAGTCACAGCTCTCTGCAGGGACAGGATTGAGAAGTGAGGGAGCGATGGTATGTGTTCGCTCACTTCCTGATCTATTGAACCGACGTGTGACAGTTTAATTGTCACACGTCGGCTCGAACTATAAGGTTGAGTGAAAATCACTAACCTCATAGTTCTCCTTTTTTAATGCCGAATTTCCATCTTTCAGCCTTCAAGAGGCTGAAAAAACCACTTGATTCCCCCATCCATGCCAACTGTGTGGATGGTGGAATCTCCATCGTATTCAGGCAGCTGCTGGCACTGCCAAACAGTGAATGCTTCTGATAGGATTCAGTCACTGTTGGGGTGATGATTTTCCACCTAGCTCATTTTGATTTTGAAATTGTCTTTTGTTGTGCCAGGTAATTATTTTATTTTTTTAGCAGATTCAGATATTTATTCAGAATTAATTGGCGAAAATTTGAGCCATCTATCCCCTGGTTTAGGCTCCTTTTTTTACATGTTTTTTTATCCACGTCCTTAACACCTTTTTCAGTATTGCAAGCTCCAGTTTACACACACTGAGCAGTGACTCCCTTTTATCAAGTAGCCTTATCCAAAGTTTAATTTATACAAACTGCTGTGCTGTCTCTTTTGATAACCCAGAGTGCTCTGTGAAGCTTTTGCTTTTCTTGGTCTCTTGGGTATAGGCAGGAAGAAACCAGGGCTCTATGTTGTTCTACAAGTCTCTCTAGCATGGAGGTAATGATTTTTGCTAATGCAGATGGATATTAAATGCTTTAGTAACCCGACAGTCATGCACTGTGGAGTGCAACTTTCAAACAGTGCTTTCCTCTTAAGTGTGCTTTCTGATTTCCAGGTAAAAGGAGAGGCCCAGGCTTATGCCATTGAAGTCCGTGCACGTGCCGATGCCGAGCAGATGGCTAAGAAAGCAGAAGCTTTCCAGCAATATCAGGATGCTGCTATAGTGGACATGTTGTTGGAGAAGCTGCCTGAGGTTATTCCTTGCTAATTACCGGAATGTATATACCAGCAATGTCTAAAAGTTTATGAATTTCTAATGATCAGCGTGCACATTTCCTCTCGGCTTTCACTTCTAATGGCATATGCGGCATTGGTTGAACTCGATGGACTTGTGTCTTTTTTTTTTCAACCTAACTAACTATGTAACTATGTCATTGACTAAAGCAGTCGTTTGCCACTTGTTGACATCCAGGTGTATGGATGTCCCAACAGTATGTGTTTTTGAAGCTGGTCATAGACAGATCAGATCAGGCAAAAATGTCATGTCTTTGGGCAACTGCTGATGCCACTAGCTAAAAAATCCTTGTTACAATTTAAAGTAATATTAAAGCCAAATTTTTTAATTTTTTTTATTTCTCCTTTTGAGACCCTCCTTTTGCTGGAGGATGTTGCGTTTTTTCTTCAAAAGT